CAACAAATGTTGTTACTTATATTTGTATTATTTGCAATTTATAAATGTAATCAAAATGATACATTTTTATTAAAATTTTTGGAAGGGATTCTAAATGATGGCTCTTTTTTTCAAATTTTATGTTGATTTTAAAACGATTCCATCATAATGTAATAGTCGGTGAAAACTGAAAAATAACTACAACGAACTAATAAGCGACTTATCGTGAGATGCTTGAAAATTTCATATTTAAGGCACTCTTGACTCCACTGATTGAAAAGTTCTAACGCTCACGTCCAACTTGTGGTAGTAATCAGGCAAATAAACGAAGTTCATAAAACCAGTCTAGACTAAAACCCAAAGATTAGCAGGAAGGGGAAAACATGCTGCCTTGAGTTCTAAAACAGCGCATAACCAACTCAAAAAAAACTGTCGATAGCATCATGCAGCCACCTTCGTATGTTCAGACTCCCCTTCCCAAGGCTTAGCTTTTTTTGCCATATTTATTTATGGTGATGCATTTAAAGTGCAGAGATACCGCGATACGGACTCCGGGGCCGTGCTCCGCCCATAACCGAATATCGAAGGCCACAAAAAACATTCCTCGCCATGACTAATAACTTAATTAGAAACTCGACAAAAACTTTTAAGACTGAATAACTTGCAGCTAAAATGCGACCCAATCCAAACATTTTATTGAGTGAAAAACAAAACGAAAAAAATCTTTAAAATATCTACGATCGAGGGCTATAAAAATTCCAAGCATAAATGCATTTCATGCGACTTGGGTCGTGGCTCGAAACTATTTTCGGTGCGCATTTTTGGGCAGTAAATAAAAATAAACATTTGGTTTTTATTGGCGTTGGCAATTTTCCTCAGCCCACGCTGCGTTTCACATTTGAACTTTGAATGTTGGGTCGCAATAGCACTGCCACAGTTCAGCTGAACGCTTTTACACTAATCTGTGATGTAACTCCCTACTTAATGAAGAAGTCGCACTCTTTTAGCTATAACATTCAATAACAAAAATTGGCCAGGAAAGGCTTTCTTAATATTTTGCTTTAAAATGTGTGTTTCCTTCCGCTCTTTTTGTCTGCAAAACTACTTGTAGACTACTATTTAGTATTTCTACTATAAAAACGAATACCATATGCGTAATTTCTACTATTTAGTATTTCTGCTATAAAAACGAATACCATCCCCGTAATTCACATTTCACTGCTCCTAGAACGATGTAGATAAAATGGAATCTGGAGAATAATATCATTGTTCTACCAATGTTTGTTATGTCCTTTCGCTCATACAGATGTACAAATGGACGGACAGTTATGTCGTTCAAAACTTGTGGAGTCCTCCCCGGCTCCCGTCTGAGTTACATATTTAAGCTTTAACACTAGAAAGACCACGGCGGACAATTTTACGGTTCGGCGATTTCATTCTTAAACATTTTACGAACAATGTTTTTGGTTCTTTTCATATTTTATGACTTTTCCTAATTTGATAATGTTATCCTAAATCTATATAAAAGACTATTAAATTATGTGTAGTATAGTAAATAAGATTCCATTACAAATACCTACTTTTTCACGTCTCTAAATTTGGCTAAAAACCTAATGGTCGAAAAGGCGAGTATTGTTGGAAAAATGGCGTACGCAAGACGAGCAGTACCGCCGATTTGTATATCTATTCGTTCCACTAGATATGAAACGTTTATAATGAAAACAGAGATCGTCTATCTATTAAAATCAGGAAAAATGTTATTATTTTCAGTACTCTGCACTCCAACATGAGCATAGGTAATGGAAAAGAGCTAGAACGCGAAGATGACCCATTCGGGTTTTTACAATATACTTGATTTTGTCGATTCTGTTTCGAAAGGTAACAGGAATAAATTATACTTCAACTTGGAGGCGATCTACGTGTATGTGTAGAGTAAGCGAAAAAATCTAAGCATTACAATAGTTCTGAAATAAGTACTAACAAACAATGAGAGACGGCAATGTCAAATAAATAATAACTAATAAAGTTAACTAACTTTATTTTTATTTATTTTGAATAAAAAATAAATTGGTACTGTTTTTTATATAAATTTAAAGCAAAATAATACTCAGTTCAACAAAAATTGTTTAATTTGAATAAAAAATAAATTGGTACTGTTTTTTATATCAATTTAAAGCAAAATACGGCCTTTGAAGGTATAAAAAGAAACCCGGTATTTCTAGTGTTAACAAATAAAAGTTATGCAATCTTCGCGAATTTTATTTTGTTTAGACCTGGTCTGATCAAACTAAGTATGGGAATGATGGCGTTCATTTAAGCCTTAAGTTTGCTTACATATTGGACTTTGGAAGTTTGCAGTCTCTATACTCTATACATTATATTGATAACAATACTTCAGCCATTGGTAATGTGCTGTTAACAAGTATAAACAAGGCTTGTGTATCAATAAACTCAAAATGATAAAAAATTAAAAAACTGTCCCTCAAATAATACGGTCTTAAAGCTGCAGCTTAAGTATATTGATATGAACTTGTGTGGATCGCTAACCAGATGTAAACTTCGCATATATGCCAATATGGAAGATAAAGAACATAATTGAGTAAGATGGAAAGGATATTCACATATCCAAGTACAGCTATTGGCAACTTATTAACAACATATTTCCCCATTTTTTAATGTGCTCCATAAAATATATACATAATCTAAATTTGAGACCTATGAACTTAAAAACAAACCCCGGTGAAATTTATAACTCAACTACTTTTTATGAACAATGATTAGACATAAAAAAACTTGAGGAAAATCAATAAAATAATAGTTTTAGATTTTCAACATACATAAATATTTGGTGGGAAAGTCTTTCTGCTTTAATTTTGCTGTACATAGGCGTTGTATGGACATTATAAAGCGCCAGCTTCTTTCTACAGGTATTCCATGCCATGCATCCCTAATTTTCCCTTTCATGTCCAAATTTGTTTTATTCTGTTGGTCGAACACTTTTTTAACGTAGTTCGTTGAATGGGCTTAGATGGCCATTCAAGAACCCTAAGAGAACTTCTGTCTAAAAATTGTTTCGTTGGAATCGCCGTATGTTTAGGGTCTTTATACTACTTGGATTATGAGACCAACTCCATTCCATGGGATACACTCCTAAATATTTATTTTGCCGCGACCATTCTTAGCGACAGTTGACGCACACTTTGGATTTAGTTTTATTACTTTTGGGCTTCGCATATATTTTCTACCATCAAGACCAAATCGGTGAATCTTTATTTCATCAGTCCGGACTATATATTTCCATTTGTTAAGCATTCAATCAACATGGGCTTTAGCGTCGTTGTCGCTTGAGTTCTGGTCGTTGTTAATTAGTTGTCAACAGCTGTAGATCTCAAAGTTCAATAACTCATATTGCAGCAGCTCTTCTGTTGCATGTGATGCTCTGGTGTACGTAGCAGAAGCCGCAGAAACTTTACCGTACCGTTATCACCGCTGCAACCCGATAAGTAACACAATTCCCCATCATATGTAACTTCCTTGCCGGCCAGCCATCCTGCATGCCGCTCCCAGTCCCTAGTGCTCGTAAGACACAAAACAAATGCATACGAGCATAGTTTGTAGAGAGAAGCATACTGGTCTTGGCTCATGCGTAGCCCACTTCATCCAGTCACCATCCAGTCTCAAAACAAACAGAGCCATCCACGTGAGCCCGCGTCCTAAGAGGTTGGCACTTGCCCCAGAGGCAAGTGACTGGCATGCACTCACAAGTGCAAACTTCGAAGTACTCGCACATGTGTCGCTAAACTAATGAAATCAATAACTTATGCGACTTCAGTAGCACCTCGGGCAGCAAGCCTATGAATCACAACAATAACAACAAAAGGCGAAAGGCGACCAAGAAAGGGAGAAGAAGAGAACAAGTAGGGAAGGAGCTGGCACAAGTGGCTCATGATTATGGCCAAAGGTGTGAAGCAAAGTCACTCAAGCGCCTTGCCTTTGCCTTTGGCTTTGGACCCTAGGCTAGGCAGTCAGCCTACTACAGCCTATGAAACATGAGCTCAAAGTATTGCCAAGACTTTCTGTGCATAAATTTAATTACGAGCTAAAAAACTTTGAGCAGCATTGACAACCATGGACGACGCTCACCCTGACGTCTACGCTGAACCTAGTCACCTATCAATCTAACTCGAGTGGGTTTTCCTCTCCGCGTGCCGCTTTTCTCTTTTCTTTGGCTGAAGTGCTATGCTTATTAGTAGCTCCGGGCCTTAGCCCTCGGCTGTGGCTTCTTGAAGTTCAATAGCCCTGGGCTATTGCAAGCACCAGATACAAGCTAGGCGGAGAGCGAGCGGAGGATAGGCTGCATTGTTAATTTATAATTAGTGAAGAGGGACAGGGACAAAGCAAAACATGAGCCACACATGCTATTATTGTAAAAGTAACAGTAACCCAGGCCATATCAATTTAATAGATCTACAGCAGCGCAAATAATAATTTTAAATGGGCCGCCAGTTTTCAGCTTCCTTTAGCATGGAACTGTAGTTGATTACCAGAGACGGTAGATGTACAAATGGCACTGACTATGTACAAACTTGGAACAACAGGAAACAACAGCCCCCCTCACCATATGACTCGATAGCATGACACAATAGCATTGTATTTCGATGCATAGGTATAATAATGTTTCTATGTCGTAAATGGGGGAAATTCTACGCTAAAAAATTGAACATTAACATACAAAAGGTCTTCAAGTTAATGGGAAAATCTTTTAAGTATATATATATTATGTATATACGAGTATATACAATGTTTACTGAAAGAAGAATTTCAGTATTTAAAAGATAGAAAAGATCGAGGAAGAGGGTTGGGGTTTTTGCCCTACACCACACCTAAATATAATAGCATTTTTATAATGTTGTGTCATGTTCTACCAATAATTTTAAAATGAAAACCGGATAGAGAATTGTTTTAAAGCAGAACTCATAACAATTCGACTAATTAAGTGATAATTTCCTATATAATTGCAGAAAATATAACAATAGAGGGCTTTCCGGATTATGTGAAGAACGATTTCAAAATAGCTCTGTACGCAAAAGAAACACAAAGATATCTGTGTTTCAACGACAATTGGAGATTAGTTGGCATGGTAAGTACACGAAAGTATTGTTAAGATGAATAATCACTACTAGTACTAGTGCTAATATCAAAGCATCAATAGTTCAACATTTAAAACAAGAAAGGAATGCTAAAGTCGAGCAGGCTCAACTCTTAAATACCCTGTACCACCCCACAAAAAAGTAATTAAATTAATTAATTAATTAAATTTAATTAATTAACTAAATTAATTTAATTAATTAACTAAATTAAATATAAAATATTCCATGCATGCATACATACATTTACATTTACATCAGAATCGTGCCTTATGCGTGTTTGTGTACTTGTACATATGTATGTATGTGTGCATTGGGCCTGGTTATATGGCTATAACTTTCTTTCCGATCATTCTATCATAATGAGACTTGGTATACGGTTATATAATAACTAACCTAATGTGACTACCAAATTTTAGTTCAAAATTCCAAGAATTACGGAAGTTATAGAAAATCGTTAATAGGGGGGGAGTGGGGGGGTGGATCAGAAAAAATGAACAAACTCGTCCTTTCTCGGTCTCAGGAGAATCTGTATACCAAGTTTGGTTATTCTAGCTCTTATACTTTCGGAGATCCTTGCGTTCATACAGACAGACAGACGGACAGACGGACAGACAGACGGACAGACGGACAGACGGACATGGCTATATCGACTCGGCTTGTCATGCTGATCAAGAATATATATACTTTGTGGGGTCTACCAAGCCTCCTTCTGTGTGTTCCATGTGCACTCGCACAAAACTAATATACCCTTGTACCCTTTTGGGTACAGGGTATAATAACACAAATCACAAACTAGTTAAGAAAATTAATAGTTCAATCAAATCACTTAATGCCTATTACGCGTTTGATCAGCCGTGGCCATCATAAATGATGAAAAAACGCTCTAATATCAGCATTAGAATCCAATATCCTAAACATTCGTGCTCATGTGTGTTACAACCTTCTTTTTCATTATTAATTTTTTTCAATAGCATTTATTTATTCATTAATATCGAGCAAAGCTCTCACCTTTTCTTTTGAACAGAGCACGTACATACTTGTATAATATTTTCAACAAATCTTGCACTTCCGATCTCCCAGTAATTAATGTTAAGCATTTCCACTAGTTTACAGTCTGCAGAAGTGTATATTCCCTTGAAAGATAAATAAAAGTGAACAAATTTGATTTCGTAAATTTGAAATCTCTTTAATAGGCCATCGTAACCGAAATAGAGCAATGAGATATAAGAGCTGTGACACTTGAGAGACGTTAGTTCTTCCAGCGTATAATTTGATACTTCTTTAATCTTAAGCGTCTTTCCAGAGAACAATTGAGTATCTGTCGAAGTCAAACACTTTTTGAGCATAGGCGGTACATTAGACTCAAATTGTCATAGATAGTACCCCAGATAGCGGGCTGTACGGGTATATGAATAGCATATTTCCATGAAATTCTATCATTTTACAACAATTAAGCTAACACCTTGGCTAGGCCCCTTACATAGACGTACACACATAAAACACATTGTACGTGCAAAGATACTCGTAAGAAGTGATTACGAGCAGCTTTGATTGCATTGTACTTGAAATGCCGCCACTCTTATGCAAACTAACTGTACAAACACTATAATTTATGACATGTTCCACATAATAGTTTTATGCAAACGAACATTTTACGACAATAAGCGACAATACTGTTCATAAACGATTTAAGCCAAATTGCATAAATTACGTTGAACGGCGTCAAGTGCGACATCGAGTGCACGGTTAATGCAATTTTTTATTTTTGTCTAAATCACAAAAATATAAAGTGTAAAAAAAAGCAGCTGCACCAAATCTGTCAAGCAACACCAGGCAACAACAACTGCGGCGACAATAGCAACAACAAGAGCAACAAACCGCCAAGAAAATATTTATTACAATATTTAAATTTGTTCGCAATTACGGCCACATAAATATACAAATAATAACTGCTTATAGAAATCGAGTCGGCCATTTGCTTCAAAATATAATAACTGGCATACTCGTACACCAACAGCAACACCAACAGCAACAGCAACACCAACAGTAATAGCAACAGCAGCAACAACAACTATGCACACTAAGTTGGCTTATGGGGCGTATACGTTATACTATTTGCATAACAAAAGCCCAAGCTGAGCCATTATTAATTTTTATTTCTAATAATTCCATGCTGTATGGAATACCGACAAATTGCAACTGAAATTTCGCGCATCAATGAATCGAAAATTCGCAGTTCTCCAGTATAGTACGTAGAGAGGCCGATCGAGAAGTTCCAATTGAACTTGTAACATATATACATATATACACATATATACTTACGAGTGAGTGTGTGCTCTCTAGATAATTTCAATGCCGGACCGAATCACAAAGCAAGCATCTAATATTACTCGCAAGCGTGCGCCACTCAAGTGCAATTCTACATAAATATCATTGGCAATTGGCAAACACACACACACACACGCACACACACACACACACACACAATGCACACACCACATCAAATGCCTAATCAATCAAATGGTGACGCGGCCATAAATTCCGCACGCATGCCGCAATCGCAAAAATATTTCAATGTCCTTTTCGGGTAGTACAGTTAGCCGGCACTTGGCACTCGCCACTTGGGAATGTGTTTGCTCAGCGTAGCATTGGAGGTCAAAATCAAAGCACAGAAAACTTGCAATTGCCACTTTATGGCTGGCGATTATAGTCGTAAATCCGAGTTCAATTATAGTGCAAACAAGTGCCTAGGCTGTGATTTTTTTTTCATAATAAAAACGCATAGCTGAAGGTTATTATGCGGTGGGGAATTTTTAGAAACTATAAGCTTCAAATGCAATCCACACTATTCGTCGTTGGGAAGCACCGATTTTGAAGGACACTCCACCAATACAATTACGTTACTTACTTTTCATTAGGAAAACTATATTGGTGAAGCTTCCTGATACCAATTTCGCGCCCATTATCAATCAAACTGATCAAATAGTATACATTACAAAGAACGTTTTACAACTAGGAGGCCTTCATTAAATTTAATTATACTCTGTACATGAAATGTACTATGTATGTATATCTGGGTATATTAGGTTTGCGGGAGCTGAAAAATGTAACAGGCAGAAGGAGGCGTGGCAGACCCCACAAAGTATATATATTCTTGATTAGCATGACGAGACGAGTCGATCTAGCCCTGTCTGTCTGTCTGTCCGTCTGTCCGTCTGTCCGTCCGTATGAACACCTGGATCTCAGAGACTATAAGAGATAGAGACACCAAATTTTGCACGAAGATGCGTTATGTGTGTATTCTATACGAGTTTGTTTTATTTTTTTGATTTTCCCCCCCACTTCCCCCCTATGGGGGTTTTCCCGATTTTCCATTCGTATAATCGCCTATATCTCGGAGACTATAAGACCTAGGAACACAAAATTTTAGTCCCAGATGCCTTATGTGAATACGTAGAAAATGTATATTTTGGAATTCCCCTCCCTCCCCCCTCTACCCCGCAAATCGTAACTCCCGTAATTCTTGGAATTTCGAACTAAAATTTTGGAAATACCCCCAGTTAGTTATTATGTGTCCGTATGCCAAATTTCATTATGATAGACCGATTTAACAAGAAGTTATAGCCATAAATATATTTGCTGATGCAGCGCTGCTGCAGCGCTGCTCAAGCGCTGCTCAAGCGCTGCTCAAGCGCTGCCCGCGGCTGTTGTTGATGTTGCTGTTTGGTTGACTGCGAAAATGCTTACACAGACACGAATTGATGACCATAGGCATACATACACTCACACAGACGCAATTGCTATGTAAATGTGCAATTATACACCCTTTACGTGAGTTCGAATACCGAGAGAGGTAAAATCGATCAAATTTTTTTTTTATTTTCTTAATTTTTTTTATTTTCTATAATTATTGTAAACATATGTACAGAGTATTTCAAAGTCGGGACACCCGACTTTAGCTTTTTTACTTGTTTTTTGTATGGAATTATAAATCATAAATCAAACTATCATTATGAGCAATGAAATGGTTTATTGAGTATTTCGAATAAAAAATTCTCTCCCTCCGTTATACTATTTATATGGCTGTTAGTGATGGTTGAATTCTATCCACTTAATTGCCGATTTTTATCAAATCTTACAAAGTTTTTGAATCTCTAGTAAAGTAGTTGTTTTTTTTTTTTGCCCATTTAAGATGTTAAATCGGGAATTTCCTATTAGGAAATCATTTTAATAAATGATATTTGAGTTAAAGTGGACTTAAATTTGATCAAGTAAATACATATTTTAATAACGCTCTAACAAATTGTTCATGTAAATGTTAAGTTTTAATTAAATATTCTGGATTATTTTTGGTCCAGACAAAAATCGTAGCCTCCTTGTGTTGTATTGAAATTACAATCACGGAATCTCGGCCAAATAATAATGAAAGAGTTTTTCGAAGACTGAATATGCGTGGTTAGATATACATTTTTCATCATGTTGTAAATTATAGGGATCAAAGTTCTAGATGTAAGTAAGTAATCCAGTGACTCGGAGAGCTCGATCAGGAGTGTAACATGTACACGATGGTGAAAGTGACAGCTAAGATACACCCGGCAATAAACACATTGCCACATCGAAGGAGTTCGAAAATTACATAGGCGCCAATGAAGAACGTCATTATACAGGAATTGCATTATTCGACAACCACCGAAGGCACCACTCGTCATATCGTAAATGCAAAAAAACAGATCAACAAAGGCCGCAATGTCATTTTTCTGGAACTGGATCATGCAAAGAATAATAAGGAGCAGCATGCTTGGAATGATCGAAGGAAGACCCGACCCATTTATATACAGGCCATATAGCGCGCTGCCTAAATGCCAGTCAGGCCGTAACGACCTCCAGTCACCACCCAACGTCCTGAAGATCCAATTACACACGAGCAGTCTTGGATAAGCTATACAACAGCAACAGCTATAGAGCTCCTCCTCACACCACAGCCGGCAGTACTCTCCAGCATGTGGAACATAATGGAAGAGAGGTTTACTCAATGTTGAACCCTATCGCGCTAATTGACCAGAGTCATCATCAAGCTAGTAGGCTTGAAGCTTGTACTGTGGAATGCAAGCGGCCTGACTATCTTAAATAAACATAAAATGAAACAAAAGAGGATATATATACTTAAATTAAATTAATAAAATAAACAAGGAACTGGATGCTACAGTTCGAAATCTGCGTTCCCCGTACCGCGAACTCTTTACACTCTAAATGAGGTGCTTGGATACATAAATGCCACAAAGTGAAGAAGTGGGTAAAAGAGCGATATTTAAGAGTTAATAACCAGCATATAGCTACTATTCTCAATAAATTTCCGACCAAATTTAAGACCATCTAGACATTGTCTTCCCAGTCAAGCAACTTGTCTTAAACACAGATCTAACACACATTCGAATATTGGTGCTTTATACGCAATAAAATTGCTGTGGAATTCCCAGATCAACACATTAAACAATGTCTCGTCAAGATTGAGAAGTTGCCGCGCACTTCACAAGACCCTCTCCAGAGATGCGAGTGCCATCAGCAGCGCCGCAACTTGACACTTGAATAGAGCCACTTGTTGCTGCTGATGAGAAGCAAAATATAAATTAAAAGCTATGTAAATGCGTGTGCGAGTAGGTTTTGAGGCATACTATGCTACATACTCGTACTCGAGTGTATACTGTACCTAACGATCTGACCAAACATGGCCGAATTATATGACATGTTTATCTTCATCAGTGGCAGAAAAGATCTGCAATGCTTTAAATCAAAACTAATTCGCCGATCTGTGATTGTTGAACAAAATGTGTAGATCGCTGGCTGCCGGCACTTAGGCTTGTAGGCTGGGGTCCCACAGGGGGTGGACCGATACAGACGCGTGTTGCTGACGTCTAAAATACGAGTACACAACACAAAAGCGAGTTTTGTTTTCTTGTCGTTTTGGAATTTCAAGTGTTTTATAAATAAACACACAAATCGATGCCACCGACGCTTCCATCGCTGTTGTTTAGTGTCACTTTGAAGCGGCATGTCATCATGGCGGGCTATTTGTCCCGTTTTCACACATTGGCAGTCCTAAGTGGGCCCGTGATTTGCGTATTTAGCCACGATTTCGACAGCAGCAAGTGTCGGAAATGCAGCTCATAAATTGTATTGTGTGTCAAGTGGCGGAAGTTACTCGTAACTGATGTAACTGATGTTGAAGGGTCATGACTAGTTTACCGTCTGCTTGTAGCTCCAACTAGTACAGCCTCCCTGTACCAATGAATATACAAATTTTCGTACCCTTATTCAATATACAAGTATGTTCTTTGTGAAAATTCAAAAAATGCATTTATTACAGAAGTATGATTAAAAAAATCAAAGCAAACAACAAGAGTCCGACTCTTAAAATGTATACAGAGTACTCAGTTTTTGACAACTCTTGTCATTTTATATACCACCTACATAATTATGTTTTTACACGGTAGATTGGTTCCAGAAAAAACCGTATGATTGGTTCCGTATCGCTAAAACTTTCTAAAATTAGTGAAAAAACAAGCATTTTTTAAGTATTCATGGTTTGGTATGACTAGTTCTGGAACTAAAAACACATCTGAATGTATATAAAATAGCTTAACAAAAAGAATAGGTTATTCAATTTTTAAGGTAGAAAAAAAAATTGAATGATAATCATAAATATAAGAACATAAATTTAATTACTGTCATCCAATTCGCTTGCTGGAATAATTTTGAACTGAATTCTCTCTTGCTCGTTCGGCATCTTCATTTTAACAGTGAACTCTTTTATGTCAGTTGTTGGCCAATTGTTACTACCTCTTTGTATAATTCTTTGTGACGTTCCATACCAGAATGGTTCCTAGCTGTGTGTGAGATGTACTATGTGTTTTTATTTGTTTGTGTTGTTTTGAATGCTAAATGGAATAAAATCGAGTAAAAAAAATTAAAATTTTTTTTTCAAACCGTGTAAAAACCGAATTAGGAGTATGGGTATTAAAATATTAAAGTATTAATTATTAAGTATTTCTTAAAATTTCAAATACATATTGTATGTGTGTGTGTTTTCTTGAAGTACGGCCTCAATTTACATTATGCCGGCTATTACTTATTTTAAAGCAGTCCTAAATTAATAATTCAGTCTTCAAAGTAGACTCGCAACGTTATTAGTATTTTGCAAGTAATTATGATTCAAATCAGTGTGCTTTGATCATGAATAGTAATATTGGATTCCATGTACAGCTATTGTCTATCCATGCCATTTACACATGCAAATAATCACGGAAAAGCAGTTGAGTTTTCATTTTTGTTGTCTGGGTGTGGAGTAGTTGGGCACTGAACACAATAACTTTGCGAAATTTGTTATAACTTGTTCATAATTTCTTCACGGATTTTGTTTCATTGCAGAAAGAAAGGGGCGATACCTGCTACTTCAACGAGACCATCGTGCACGGTTATTTTGTATTCCGTTCCGTAGTCGATCTGCAGCGACGTGTCGGCTTCACGCATCGAGGTAAGCCTGTGGGGCCCAAGAAAAGCGTCAACGATGCCTGCTACATGTTTACCAAAATCGAAGCCGAGCAATTTTTCCATCAGCACATGTTACCAAAATGGCGCGAGACCGCCGCGATATTGGCAAAGCCTGCAGCAACAGTCGCCAGCAGCCAGCGACAACGACAGCAGCAGCAGCAGCAACAGCAACGGACAAACGGGCGGAAAGTCTCGCGCAATAAAAACTACCGCCACAAATCGAATAACCAAAATCAAAAGTTGCAGCAGCAGCAACATGCGAATAATGGCCATAATAGTAGTAATAATTTAAGTAGCACTAAACAACATTTAGAATTAGAGCGAAAGCAACAGCAGCAACAGCAACAGCAGCAACATCAAGTCCGGCATCATCATAATGATCCCACATTGCTAGCGCGACGACAGCAACACGAGCATAAGCAGAAGCGACGACTGCAACCGCAACAACGTAAGCAACAACGAGTGACAGCTAGTCCAACGAAGCACTCAACTGCCCAGAGTGTAACAGCAACAGCAACAGTAACAGCAACGACTACAACTGCTGCAACAGCAAGTAGGCCTTCGGCGGCAAGCAGGGTCATCAGCAGTAGCACAACAGTGGCCAGCAAGCGTAAAGGACGGCGGAGAAAGGGACGCAAGGGACTGAAACATTCCGCCACTGCAGCAGCATTCGAGTCTAGCAGCAACATGTACAGTGAGCTGACCAGCAGCCTTCCTACTGCCTACGAAGACGCCGACAATAGCAGCAGCAGCGGCTGGTTTGCCACGCCCACTGCAACAATCGATAGCTTTACGCAAGATGGTGCTGAGAGCAGCAGCGTCAGCAACATGTTGCTAACAACAAGTGCGGACAGTGTAAGGCCAGCCATGCCGAGCACATCATACAGCACAACCGATGCCTGGTCCACATTCGTCACTGAGCTTGAAACAGAAGCCTCAGCTGCTACAACAACACTGAGCGGCAGCAACGACACGGACGCCGACACTGATCTGTTCCAATACGAAGCTGAGTTGGTAGACGATGGAAGTGAGGAGTTGCTACACACGGCAGAGACGGTTGAAGCAACAGCCGCAACAAACTATGAAACCAAAGCAATAGCAACAAACAGCCAAGCGGCAGCAACAACTACCTCGACAGCTGCAACAGTCAGCAACGGTAGCAGCAGTGTCTTGCCGCTTAGTACAACAACAACAACAGCGACGACGTCAAAAACACAATTGGTGCTGGAGCAAACGCCACTGGCAGCGACTCTGGCCACACTTATGTACAACAAGTGGCACACAACGCAGCGGCAACACGAGCTAACAAACGGCAGCAGCAACACTAGCACACCAACAGCAGCAACAACTGCAATAATGGGTGGTCAGACTGATATAATTAATCATACAGCCAAGTTTAGCAGACTGCCCAGCAACAGCAACATCAACAACAACGAAAGTCAACAACAACAGTTGGTGAACAGCAGGGCGAGCAACAAAAAACAGAGGCAACTGAAAATGCGCCAACAAGTACCACGACTACAAGTGGCATCAGGAACAGCAGTAACATGGCACGCCACAGTTGCAACAACAGCTTTAGCAACAGCAGCAGCCACGCAACAGCAGCAAAATGTTGCTATCATAACACCCCATCAGCAACAGCAATATGTTGCTGACAAGCTATTCAGTATATTCAAGAACATCAATAGACACTTAAACAACACACTAACCGAGGTGGCACCTACAGAGCCGACAACAATATCGAATGCAGCTGCAACAACAGTCATAGCTGCAACAGCAACAGCAGCAACAACGAAGAAATCACTCCGCAAATCCACCCAAAAACTGCTGGCCACGCCCTATCATCAGCTTACCTACGTGCGAAACGAGGCAGGCGATATTGACATTGACAATTTGGACAATATCAGCGTATATCCAGATCTGTTTGAAGGCGAGCTTGATGAGATGCAGGGCAGCAACAACGAAAGCACCAGCAGCAGCAGCAGCAGCTTAGGCATCAACAGCAACAACAGTCGACTTACTTTCGTTAGCGGGTATTTGCCAACATCGGCAACGGCGGTGCTGCCTGAATCAATACGGATAGCCAAGATTAAAATGAATAATGAGCGGAAACGCTTGCAGCAGCAGCAACAACAGCAACAACAGCAACATCATCATCAATATCATCGCCTACGCTTGCATGGACTTTTCGCGTAGTAGGGCCGCTGGGTCGTGTGTATGTATGTTGGTTGACAATCGTTTGAAATTTGAGCACTAGCACACGGGCAAAAATTTGATAGGAATTACGCGTAGCATGCAATTAGTTAATAAATATCGTAAATATATACATATATGGAATACATACCTATACTCAGAGAAGATTTCGAAGCGTTTTAGTTTAATGACAAAGAATTTATACGAAATTACATGATTAGGCAGTTTAAGCAAATTGCAATATTTACTGTAAAAATCGAGTCTAAAATGTCAAATTGATGCAAAAAGTACGAGTACGCATCGACATTTCAATTTATAAATATATATAATGAACTGATACCTTGCTTGGAACACCTCAGACAGGTCTTCACTTTGCAATCGAAATCCTGCATTTTCATCAAGCACCTTTCCACTTCGCCACTAGCAACACTTCTAGGACGCCTAAAAGCACACTAAGAAAAAGAAAACTCAGGCTACATTTTCAATGGCAGGCTAAGGCTCTGACTTGCACTCCACATGCATGTGCAACGCAGTCAACGTCTTTACATGTACTTTTTCTGCGACGTAAGGTCTTGAGAAAATTAATAAAGTAAATCAAAAAACCAAAAAAAAAAAACAACAAAAATTTGTAAAAAAAAAAACAGTTCCAATTAAGAAGTACTCGAAGAACTGCTACATAGAGTTATAAATGAAAGACAATAAGATTTTTATTGATGTGCTACTTATAAACGAAGTATTTAAAAGCAACACCGAATTGTTGAATAAATGTTGCAGAAAAACAATTTGGTGTCAGCAAAGAGAAAGTAAAAGCAACTTGCAATAATAAATATTACGACTATATAATTATGAAATGTTTAGACGCACTGAATGTAAAACAAATACCGACTTTGGTTTAATTGAATCAAAAAATGTATTAGTAACGAGATTTAAATAATGTACAAAAGTAAATATATATATATATATATATATATATATATATATATATATATATATATATATATATATATATATATATATATATATATATATATATATATATATATATATATATTTTTACTCTTATGCATTATTTAAGTACTATATATATATATATGCATATATATTTTCAAAATTTTATAAAGCAACAAATTAGTATTGAAATAAATAAATAAATTTTATAAATTCATATGCAAAGAAATTAAGAAAATAAAAATTAAATCGATAACAAATTCGCACAGCAAAACACTTCCAACAAACATTTTACAAATATAAATACATATAATATGAGTATAGAAAAAAATTTACCTAAAAAAAAATTACTAGGCATGTGCGTTTGAATTGACAAAACTAAACACTAAAAAAGTAACAATAAAAACAAAGACAAAATATATTCAAAACATATAAACCGAATTTTGTAATATGAAAAATGGAAACTACCAAAATGTTATCGATATCGGTGAAAAACAATGTCATGCGTTTTCCTAACAGAACAAACAAAATTAAATATATTTAACCAACCTATTGAACAGTTTGAGGCATAACGCTAATTGTATAAAATATTGAAGAGAAAATGTATTTAAAAGACAGAAAATTTGAACACACACACACAGACTTCAGAAATGGCGAATGCAAGTTGTGTGAATTAAATAAAGCCGCAAATAGTATGAGTTCGGGTACGAGTATACTCATTCTCATTAACATAAAAATGCCATTACATACATACATGCATACATAAGGACATACATACGTGGTATGGTGTATACATACTCGTACTATGTATAGTATTGTATGTATGCTGCGAGAGATACCAAAATTCACAATGAATATACACACGTTATATTTATTAATTAAATATGAAACTAAATGAAATCAATTCCACTGCTGCTTTTCTACATACGAGTGCGAGTATATTACATAAATGAAAAATATTAAAAACAAAACAAAATGTAATTGTTTCTCATATATTTATATTATTATATAATATAAAAAATATACGAAAATACAAAAATAGTTCAAACAAATTAGTAAACCAAATACAGAAGTAAACAATTAAATTCTACAGTTAAATGGTAAAATGAAGCATCAAGTTTACGAGTATATGTATGTAGCAATATGTATGAATGTAAATTGAAATTTAAGAAAAACGATAAACGATAAACGAACACGATTACAAAAGGCCAGAAAAACGTTAAAGCTAAACGCTTAGGTGAAAATTTAATTAGTATGTACTTAAGAGCAGAAACCATTTAACAATTGAATATTAATATTTACTTAACTAGGCCATGAAGCAGCATTCAATTATGTATATCAATTGGACAAACAAATACAGTAACGTGTAATAGTGAACTAAAATCGAACTAAAAACTGTACTTAAATGTGCGTTGATGTAATATACAACAACAACAACAACAAATGCAAAACGTTTCACAACTAAACAAAAACGCAAACAACAACAAAAACAAAAACAAACAAACAAACCAACGCCTATTTTATTAAATACTTCTTCGCCTAATTTATTAAATCTTGCAACAGCCAGTCAGTTTAGTCAGGCCGCTTGTCATTGTCATTTGTAAATTCATTTGCACCTTTTCTATACTAATTAGTAATTGTAATTTTATTTCTTAGATTATAATTTAGTCTCGCCTTATTTGCCGCCATTTGCATTGTAAATTGTATTTTGTTTAATTCTAAGCCAAGTACTTGTAATTATTTATGTAAAAACGGATTAAATTAGGCACACTCTTCAACAACTTTCTCTACCTACATATACATACACTATACTACATATATGCTATATAGTAGTTTGTGAACATGGCAATGAATATGAAGATTTAGTTGCATTCGTGTGTACTTCGACATATTATGCAAATTATTTACATTCGTATACTAATCCTATCTGAAAATTAGCCGACTCAATTTTATTTTTTCTCGGTTTATTTAAAAGAAAACTAAAACGCAGTACTGCTTATTAAATTGAAATGCAAAATGTTGCGCCTATTTAAACAACTGTTTACATTTTCTAAGCTTCTATTATGGTCTAACAATGTGTGCAGAGAAAATATATAAATAAAACTATATAATAAATTAAAAACCAAATATACAAAGCGCATTTTAATATTGCATACATCAATCAGGTCATGCGAATGGGTAAGTATGTACACCTAAACAAAATTAATTGAAATCAGTTCATCATTTTTCATGAGTAGCATTTACATTACATACTCCAAATTTAAATCTCTCTAAAATCTTTCTACATAGCAATTTTTTTTTTTTGTAAAATATTATTAACTTTATTGCCGCAAAACTCGTGTTTTGGTGAGCAGAAATTGTTGGCTTTCGGGGCAGCAACAGATCCTCAGAAGACGCAATTAAGCAGTATATATTGCAGAAAATGTAAGTAAAAATCGTAAATGAATATAATATTATATTGATATCGGAAAAAGTATACGCTTTCGCCAGTTATATTAAAAAGCACATGCCAAGTCAAATCAAACTCTAGAGAAATTTAATAAAAACACTCGAATTGGCATGCTTCTAACATGACTGTTGAAATTGATGGTAATTTTGAGTCTTCATTGAAAACGGTACTGTCGAGCAAGCCCGACAGTGTAATACCCTATACCTAGAAAAACTCTTGGCATTGAGTTATATGCGCCCAAAGCAGAAGCAAAAAAAAGGGGCGAGCGTAGTTGATGCTGCAGTTTGTGGGCGTAGTACTGGATTTAAATTGTTTCGCTAATAACTTATCTTAGAATAAACCGATTAGGATGAAATTTAATTTAAAGTAAAGTGAATAATTGTATATTGATTACATGTGCCAAGTTTTGTTTATATTGCTTTTAAAATGTGGACAGTATTGACTAAATTCTATAGCCTGAGGAGAGTGGGGAGGGGGGAGGACTTGAATATGTATATGTTTATAAAATTATATTAGTATTACTATTACAATTAAAAATCAAACAAATACATAGTTTAAAACACTGAAAATGCTCACAGGCTCATAGAGTCGTATGGCAGGTAGGAGTGGGCGTGGTCCAATCCACCCACATTAAAATTTATATGTGCCAATTTTGAAGACGATACCTTCTCTTTTGGACTTTATGCCGAAAAACAGACTTCTGGACGTATTTGGCATCGTATTTGCTTCTGGCAACTCTCAGATGGGTGATAGACATGGCTTCCTAGTTCGAATTCGGATAAAATATAATTTCTTCATTAAAAATATTTAAGGTTTTCAGCTTCTATTAATAGTTATTATCAACCATAATTTAGTTAATAAACTACAATTAGGTTGTTTATGTATGAATTAGGTAGATCTGTCAGTAGCCCCACAAAAACAAAATAAATCCTCCTTAAAAGAATAACTCACCATGGCGAGACAAATCGATCTAAGCATATCCGTCTGGATGAACGTCTGGACGTCGAATAGTAAACAAACATAGTGCATGCAAACATATATGGACGTAATTGCTAAATAAAAATGAACTGCCAATACTCGGTGCCCCCAAGCTGCAGAAAAGATTTCATTCAACTTTTTCTGTCTATGTTACATGCTTTTAGACAGATTGTTGTTATCCCTGCAAGTACATTTGTATATAAGGGAATGGATTCGCATTCTTGCCTGCGACAAATGGAACCCAATAATTGTTTAAAGTTTGTCAAATTATTTGCACAGAAAAGCCTTGAACGTTGGCCAGATAAAGCAGGAACCCAATGCTACACTTGAATAAATGAACGAACGGGACAATGCGGACCACCCAGCTGGACAACGTCCTCAGTGTAGGTGACAAATGCTTGTCAGGCGACAATACTAAGTGTCTGCAACACATTGCAGACCCAGACAATATTGTAATGCTCCAAACACAGACGTCGCTGCCCAAATGACAAATCACATGTGCTGACATTTGACATTGTCTCTGGCTGAGGTCCAGGCCTCCCGCACGACTGGACCTGGACCTGAAGGACTTACATGCCAGCTTCATATTATTATTATTGTAAGCTTGAACATGTATGTGTGTGTATGTGTGTGTTGCGTGGTTGTGTGTGAATTTTATTCTGGGGTCTAGGCCCCAACTGTGACAAGGGCCGGCGGCAGTAAAAGTGTTAAGCAACAAAATATTTGCAGGCTCGCTAAAGCAAACACAGTTATGGAACGGCTGTCCACTGCCAACAGACCTTGGCCAGGCCCTGAGTGCTGCAGTAGCCGTCCAGGGCCGGTGTGAAGACCCGGCAGCCCAGACAGACCAGTAGGGACCACACAAGTGGGCAATGGCCCCAGGCACTGGATCGACTTCTGCTTTGCATAAAAACGCAGGCAGATTGCTGCAGAAGCTGTCCCCACAAGGCTCTGTTTAATTAAAAAATTAAGTTCCAAATCCCAACCCATTAAAAAGATTTTTATTTATACCTTTTAATTTCATCAATCGTTGCGACGCGGCGGCAGGTGTCGCATGCACCAAGGCCTGACATTCTATCCT